CCCCCCAAAAAACCCCCCAAAAAAAAAACAATGCTTAAAAATTCCCCCCCCCCCCCCCCCCCCCCCCCCACCCTTAGCAGCATGCAGCGCACCCTTCATGCGACTCGCCGAACACACGTGTTGCCCCCTATAGGAAATTGAAAAAAAGTACGGACAAAAATCACGCCGCAGGTTTCAGCGGGGGCAATTTTGTTTCATCCCCTCCCCAGATTGGACAAGGCTGAGCCCAGATCTTTCACCACCTCGTGCTCCTCACACAGACCTCGGCGTGCCACCAAAGTACACGGGCACCTCAAGAAGGTCATACCCGCCACCGGAAAGCTGTTTTCACCCTTTAATTTTGCTTTGGACGCGAGAAATGCCTCACGATCACATCTGAGTTGAACCAGCTTTCTGCTACTGCGCGCAACCTTTTCAGCTCTTGGGAGCCAACTTTCACCGAGGTTTGCTGAAACACTACGGTCCCCCGATTCGGCCGATACTTTGCCTATCGTAGAGATAAAAGACCATAGAACGAATCCATGATGTGCATGATTAGGGATCTCCACTACAGCGTCCGCGGTTGGCCTGCGAAGTCTGCCCAAATTCAAGTCTTAACTGCAGTAGTCAGCAGAAGAAGTGGCTTCCAGAACGATCATGTATCTACCTCCGAAAACATATAGAAATCCAAGCCATGGAAGCACGCACCGGACTTTCAACGCCGTTTGCTGAAGACCTAACCCCAACCAAACCTGACAGAAATTGGGGTGTGTGCGTCTCTATGTGTGGGCAAGGCATATCGGATGTGCACGATTAGGGATCAGCACTACAGCGAGAGGTATAGCAGAATAACTCAAAACTCTATGCGGAGGGACCGTCAGGGGATGTGATTCCAGGATTTGTATTGTCTGCATAAAAAAAAAAAATGGTAATTTTTCCATAGGGGGCAACACGTGTGCGAATGCCTCACGGCGCTTCGCGCTTGGTGATGTGAGAGCCTGGTCCGGTGAGAACCTGGCGTGCTCCGTCCCGGCTTTGTAGGGATGCGAGGTCTAACGACTACGGCATGCACGACTATGAGTACCCCCCCCCCCACAAGCAACGATGACGCCCGCACCCTTCCCCACCTGGACTAGCAGCGAACCGTCCGAGGTTCCGACGCACACCAGCACGGGAGCGTTCGGGTTAGGCCCTAGCTCGACACACTCCACCGAAGGCGGCACATCCGGCGTGGTTGCTGCCCCCGCTGCCCCCGCTGCCCCCGCCCCTCTAGCGGCCCCCCTCGGCACGCCGCCACCGCCGCCCGCGCCCGAGAAGCAGTCGATGGTGACCCAGCTCCCGGGGTCGAGGCTCCAGACGGGAGCGAGGCTGGCCATGGTGCGGACCTCCAGCATGAGCCCGTCCCCGCCCACGACGAGAAGCTCGCCACGGCCGGCCGTGGAGAGGCACCGCACGGCGCCGGACAGGCCGGACACCCGCGCCGTGAGCAGCCCGTTCACCGTGTACACCTCTAGCTCGTGCACGGGCAGTAGCACCGCCGCTGCTGCGCCAGCCCCGTCGCCAGCCGCAAGCCGGGAGCTCGCCAACGCGCAGTACCCGGTCTCTCCCAGCGCGCAGGCCGTGTATCGAGCGGCAGGGAGCTGCTGCTGCTGCTGCTGCTGCGGCGGCGGCGGCGGCAGCGCGGCACTCGACTTCCTACCGCCGCCGCCGCCGCTTGCGGACTCGCCGCCACCATCAACAGCGGCAGCGGTAGTCGAAACGCCTTCTCCTCCTCCTCCTCCTACGGAGGAGGACCCGGCAGGCTGTTGCCCTAGGGCGCGCAGCAGCACGTTCCCCTCGATGGCGGTCAGCAGGGCGCGGCCGTCGGAGCACGTGAGCGCAAGGCCGAGGCCGTCACTAACCGCGCACGCGGTCACGGGCCCCCCGGTGCCCGCGCACGACGAGGGCGGGGCACCGGCGGGCCGTCGGGCGGCGCAGGCTGTCCGAGATGTAGTTGGGGGCCAGGCGGCGGACGGACCAGAGAAGGGCCCGTGCCGTCGGCGGCGCCGGAGAGGACGAGGTCGCTGTCCTTGGCCTCGAGCCCGCAAAAGCGCGAGGCAGGTCACGGGGGCCGAGTGCCCGTGGCAGCGCCATCTCGCCGCACACCTGGTCGAGGTGGGGGGGGGGAGGGGGTAGCGCTTCGGCGTTTTTTGTTTTTAGTGTTGTTGTGTCCACGTTACGATTCATTTCCGGTTTTTAGTCAGAGTATGTACCTTCAAATATCGGTACTGGCGGTGGAGGCGGAGAGGGGGGAGGAGGAAAGAGCGCAAGGTTTATGGTCCTTTTCGGGAAAAGGGCGGTCCCCCCTTGTGACTTTTTTTTTTTTGGGGGGGGGGGGGGCTTTGTCGTCAGAGACAGAAGGCCAGAAGCATGTGCATCCGCAACGACCTTTCCTATCTTTGCCAACAAGAAACGAAACATGCACGACCGCTGTAAGTCGACCACACCCCTGGGGGGGGACTGGCGACCATCTGCACACCGCCGGTCACGTGACATGACGTGCTAATAGTGCGCGTGGCCCACACGCCTCCTTGTTGTTGGGTCTTCCCATCGCAGCCTCGAGCGGACGAACGAAGCGGCCATATACATATCTCAGAAGAAAAACTAAATAGCGTGTCTTGGGATTTATATGGAGCAAAACAAAAATAGTACGCATCACCAACACCACCAACGGGCCTACACCTGAACACGGAGAAAGAAAGCCGAGAAGCCCCAGAACACTCCTCCCGCGACTCGAGGCTACACAATACACAACCACCCGAGGCGTCCAACCCAATCCTTCGCCGCGAAAACCCAAGCCGACAAACCTGGCCGGTGTTGTCGTAATCGAACTGCCACATGAGCAACGCCCCGGACTCGTGCCCTCCGCTGAACAAGTACCTCCCGGAGGGGGAAAAGCACACGGGCGGAGCGGGGAGGGGGGGAGGCCAATCGCTGGGGCCCCCGGCCGCCTCCTCGCCACGGGAGTCCACCGCCGGCCTGGCTCCGAGGGGGATGCGGGGGACGTGCGTGAAGTGAACCATCCTGCGCTCGACGCAGATTCCGCTCGCGACGGGGGGGCGGTTGTTCTGCGTCCGGCGACGTCTCCGCTGCCGGGGAGGGCTGTTGCTGCCGCTGCCGCCGCCGCCGCCGCCGCCGCCGCCGCCCGTACCGGAGCCGCTGCTAAGCTGTTGCTGCTGGTCGGTGTCACTGGTATTCATCAAGAGGGTCGGGGAGTGGGGTGGGTGAGGAAGTACGACTCGGTGGAACGCGCTACGTGGGGAGGGTAGAGACTTCCATGCTGCGGGGGAAGAAGTAGAGGTTGTAAAATCAAGGAAGGGTACGGTACGCCCTGGTACATTAGCACAACCATACCAGACAAGGCATGCACGCGTCTCGATCAAAACTCAAACTGAATAACTCTAACAGACACGACAAGCTCCGCCGCACCCAACCTTCCCGCACCGGCCGACAGACCGATCAAACACATACCAAAACGGGTACAGACCAAAAAGGGTACATGCAAAAAAAGGTACACGCCAAAAACGGTACCACATACCTCTTGGCTTCCACCCCCGGCTCTCCCTCGCTGTCACCACCAACGACCCCCTCCTCCTCTTCCTCCTCCTCCTCCTCTTCCTCCCCTCCCGCCGCCGTCTCTATCCCCGTCTCCGTAGTAGCAGCAACCGCCGAAGAATCCGCCGCCGGCAACTGCCAGTCCCTCCAGGCGTAATTGAACTGCTCGATTACGCCGAGCCCGTTGACGGAGAGAAGGCGCCCGTCCGCCAGCGCCCGGCAGGCGCGCACGCCTACCTGCCTGAGGGATACCGACGGCACCCTCTGGACGCTACGCACGGACGCAAGGCGGCCGCTCTCTCGCCAGCGCTCCAGCCCCCTGAAAGACGCCGCCACCGGCCGTGGAACTCCCTGTCCTCGCTGGCCGCGGGCGGGGTGGGGTCTGCCGAATAGCTGTGCCGGGCACTGCATTGCGGGGAGGGGGAGGGGGGGGGGGGGGGGGGTACGTTGGATGCCTTAGTTGTTAGGCCATTCACCACGCGGAGGGACGGGGTGGAAATAAGGCTTACTTGCCGTCGAAATGGCTTGTTTTTAGTGTGGCGTTCGTTTGTGCTCTACACCGCGGCTTCAAAGTCGCATAAAAAGAAATCGAAAGTGAAGAAGATCTCCTTACGTGATAGCCATTTAGAAAAGAGGCGAGACACAAAACGGCAATAACGCCAAGCTCGTTCAAACGTGTTACTTACCCCGGTAACCATGGAACGCATTCCAGTCAGTTGGACCAGCATGGACGTTTTGTGGTATGCATACTTGTAGGTATTGAACAAAGATCGATGAGGTTGGTTTGTCACTACGTGATCACAATAGCATCAGAAACAAAAGTATAAACAAAACAACACTAATCCCACCGAGGGAAACACAGTAATCCCACCAAGACAACACACACGAAGCGTTCTCACAGCACCCGATGGTGTGCAGGAACAAACCAAGCCGAACCCCGCAACCAACGTCATCACACCCCTCCCGCCGCTCGTCACTCACCCTCTCCCCCTCTCGCTACCCCCTCAACCAGCACACACATGATGCGCCCCACCCTTGTCCCAAAGCAAAACCACCCGAAGACAAACCTGGCCGAAATGAGCGATCTGCAGCTCCGTGGCCCGCCGCAGCCCCTCGTCCTGGATGTTGGCGAGGTCGACCGCACCGGAGTATGTGAGGTAGTAGAACACGTTGTGCGCCTTCTCAGCCGCGGGGCCCCTCTGCTTGTACCCGAAGATGAGGTCGATCCAGTGGTGCAGGTTCTGGGACACGTAGTCCGACTGGTGCCCGTCAGGTCGATTCGGATGACCCCCACCCCGGGAGGGAAGCAGCGGAGAAAGGGAGAGAGAGAGAGAGAGAGAGAGAGAGAGAGAGAGAGAGAGAGAGAGAGAGAGAGAGAGAGAGAGAGAGAGAGAGAAAGAGAGAGAAAGGGCAACAAAACAAGTGGAGGAAGGTGGGCGTTGTAGGAGGTGCCGGTCAAGGACAAGAACACGTAGGTGTTGCTCTTGTTGTGCTATAGAAACGCCGTGTGCAGTAGTGGTTGCTGTAGAAGGCCGCACAGAGCGCCAAGAGATTGGGCGGCACTTTTTAACGTAGAGCAGACAAGTTGAATACTCCATCTGTGTCACACGATTTTATCGGCCTTATACAGGGCGACTGGACTCGTGCTGCATTATACAGGGACTGCTACTACTGCTGCTGCTGTATCTCGAAACACGATGATACACAGCGAAAATATGGAGCCGACACACATATATATGCGCTCGCGAAAAAACAAGAACAAATATCTGACTGTAACCAACCGCCGAAACGCGGAGGAATACGCAGCCTCCGCGGGGCAGGTGACAGAGGTGTGCCCCGACCCTGTCGTTGGCAAGCTAAACCCCGCCTGGAAGTGGGTAACGCCGTTGCAGGTTGGAAACTGATTGCAGGTAGGCAACTTTTTTTATGCACGCGCAAATTGGTCGAGATTGGAGTTAGTTGTACAATGGATGCGTGGATTGATGTGTCACGTTGTTGATGTGCGCGCGAAATGCGGCGGAACATACTTCCTCGTCGGGAGGTTCCAGCAGTGTGACCCGAACCTCTCGTTGGCAGGAAAGCTTGGTAGACACACAGCTATTCCAGCATCGAAGGGCTTGTCAATCCAGCTGTAGACTGGACGGGGGTTCAATTTGGTGGAGGGTAGGCGACGTTTAGGCACAAATCCATCGAGATCGGAGCAATTGATGCCAGAAGCACCTGCTACATACTCATGTTTCGTGTTTGAAATGGCCAGCCACCGACACAACCAAACGTTAACCCAGGAGGCGCCAACCAAGCTGAAACTTGCTGAGGGCGTCCTAAGGTAGTGCAGGACGGCGGATGGTCTGATTCCTCGCGCCTCGGGCGTTCGGGTCAAAAGAGTGAGTGGTTCGAAGCTTCGGAATGAACGGCGACAGAGAGACAGACAGAGACAAAAATGTTTACTGTTCTGTGAGACCGTGTACTGGCCTAAACAACTAACGAGTCGAGTACAAAGTGTTTCACGCATTGTTGTTGTACATAAAAAACTGCGTGGCCCTCACAATAACAAGTATGCGTGTGTTGACAATCAGGCCGCTCTATGTCCGTATTTTCTTTATTGTATTGTCTAGTGCATCATTGCAATGTGTCGCACGCTGGTTGCTATTGCCGTAAAACGAAATGCAACGACTACATATGCATGTCTGCACACTCATGTGTTCCGCGAAGTCAGCAGGCACGGCGTCACGGGGAGTCCAGGCCTCGTCGTCGGCTGTAGTGACGCCATCCCCGCTGACTCTGCGGACCTCTGAGGTCTCGGTGAGTAACGTTATTTTCCTTACCACAGGCTTTTGAGCTCTTACAGGCGGAAACGCTCTTATTTGTATGGCGCGCCTTCGAAGAGACGGCCCTCCATTTCACGTTACACAATCTCTGACACGGGCGCCCTTCTTCTCAGAGTTTATCACGCCATATTCACAGAATTCCCAACAATCACCAAACATTGCGACAAAATATGCGTATCATTAACTCCGTTTTCTTTCTGATAAATCTACACATCCAATTTTCCGACGAACACACTGCAGTGTCCTCTCTACATTCATAAGTATATATATTGCGTCCCCAAACCTGAAAAAAAATAAATATCCAAAACAAACACAAGCAACACCCCAGACCCAATATTTCCTAATGCGATTGTCGGCTGATCTCTCTGACGAAGGGATTGAATGATCCTTTGCGGCCAACACGTCGAACGCTGTCAGAGTGATATTCGTCGCCTATCCGCTCGCGTCCGTTCTTCATCCGCCTCGAGCTCACCCTAATCTCAAATCCTCACATGACTACTTGTACCCTCCGACCATTCCCGCGGGCACGTCTTCGAACATAAGACTGCAACATCGACGACCTCCTTTAATAAACACGAAGACGACATCTTCCACTGTCTACTCGACGTTTACGATACCAACAACACCTGGCGGACGTCGAGGCTTATTTTTTAGTACCTGTGGAAGTGGCACGACACCCATCATGTGTCTCAACGACCCATCTTCAAGGACATGACGAATTTCTCACCTTCGAGGATAACGACTTTCTGCCTCTATCATAGCGTTAAATAGTAGTGCTACTGTACATGGCGTCCAATACTCGTACAGCTGTACATGACGTTGCCGCCGCATAAACATATTGCGCCTTAGAATACCACTTTTCCTCTCGAGGAGAGGAAACTTACCTACATGTGGCCCAGCCTGTCCTAACAAAAATTGTATGTGGGGGGTGCGGTACCACGGGCCCACAGAGAGGAGGAGGCATAATGTGTGTGTGCGACGAGGAAAGCGGGCTTTAATTGTATTTGTGTAACCCCGGGTGGTAACAACACTGGGCTTCTTTCTGGACAAGTTCAATGGTAGATGGTGCCGCACATGGAGTTCATTAGTCGTGCAGCTTTACATATGCTACCCTTTAGAATAGAACTGTTGCTCGCGGAAGGAGACTTCCAAGCTACGTCGCGCACTATGTATGCCGAGGTGCCATTCCATGGGCCTGCAGGAGACGGGGGTGGTTGCAAATTTCCGTCGCACAGCATGCCGGAGAGAATATGTGTATCACGGGTGCGAGGAACCCACCGTTTTTTGTAAGTAGTCGGACTACATGGTAAAGTCGTCGACACAATCGACAAAATTAAATCTACAACACAACTTGCCCACTGCTTACACTTGAAACACTTTTTCCTTATCTTCACACATACGAGAATTTGTGCTTCGTTTCTTCGAATCCCTCCCTCACTGACAGCAGTTATAGTCCTCTCGGTCGACGCCGCTATCAATCTCGACAGAGATTCTTGCTTGACATTCGATCATGTTTTAACAACACTGTACCTCTAGAGCGGCACGGTGCTTGAGTATGAAGTCGGCCGGTCCTCCAGCCCAGGGAGGAAGCTGGACGTCGTTGATCTCCGTCCCATCCTGAGGGGGTTAGGGAGGGAGGCCACAAGAGAGGGATGGAGGTGTAGCAAGAGAGGGCGCGAGGTGGCGTGGGACGCTTTGGTGGATGTGAGTCGGTGATGGAAAATCATAAGTCTCCTCGTGGCGACAAAAAAGTAGCACGGCAGCCGTGGCAGCAGTAGGTCAAACGGCGATTCGAACATAAAGCAGCCGTGTTATCCCCGAACGCAACTCTAGGCAGCAACTGCAGCAGCAGCACCACCACCACCACCTCCAGCAGCTAACGACACCCGACAACGACGACAACAACAACACTATCGTGCGTGATGGCCGCACCTGAGCCTTCCCGAAGGCGAAGCCGTTAACGTTCGTCAGGAAGTCCGGCAGCGAGTACCACTCCGGCGTAAGCTCCTTGACCTCGGAGAGCGCAGATGTGCACATGTCCCAGCTGCGCGCCACGCTGCTGAACAGCCGGTCCGCCACGTCGAAAGTGCCGTTCTGCTCAACACCGCACGGAGCGCCCCATCACATCACACGGGGCCCCCGTCACACCACACGGGGCCCCCGTCACACCAAGAAGAGAGGCAGACGGTAGGAGCGTGTGCGTGCGTACAGGCGGGGAGAGTGTGGGGCGAGTTAAGTAACGGAAACACGCAGGCAGATCAAGGGGGCCGAGATTGGAGGCAAATTATAGTGCTCTAAATGCTACGGTACGGCAGAAGTGCGACGGCCCGATGGTAACCGAAGATCTTAATCTGGGGCGCTACATCACCCGAGAGGTACATCGCCTTCATACCTTGTGTCTATCCGCCGGGTCGATTACACGATCTGTGCACACCCTCCTGAAAATACCCCACCACCCATGGTCATGAATCATCACCACAACACCACACCCCCTTGAAAATACGCACCAAATGCGCTGCACGAATCATCACAACGCCACACCTTCTCGAAAATACGTACTATAATACATGCGCTGCATGAATCATCGCAACAAAGCAGCTCTGCGAATGGCTCCACGGGTATGCATACGTACGAAACACTTGCCAGCTGGACCCACCTACAGCAGCAACAACAACTTCACAACGTGAACAGAAAAAAAACGTGAACCTTGCTATCCGTACCTGCATCTCCCTGTCAGAAACAAAAACAGGAACCTTGCTATCCGTACTGTACCTGCATCTCCCTGTGCAACTCCGCGAACGGCTGTAGGCGGACAAGGTAGTGCAGCACGACCCCAACGGCGGTGCTGTAGTGGCTGCCGTACATGAAGCTCGGGATATCCGGGTCGTCGAAGCTGCGGTACCGGTCGATAAACTCCGCAAGTCGCTCGGGGTTCACAGCGCCCACTATTAAGGTCATGGGGAGGGGGGGGGGAGTCCGTTGAATGCATGGGTTCTCTTATACTAGCTTGTGGGTACGAAATACAGAGGCGTTTTGAAAGCATGTATGTGGCATAAGTTGCCCATCAACGGTGCGAGAAAAAAACCTCCTTGTTGCATCCCTAAGTCTACCTCACGTGTAGTTGTGTTGATTGATTTCACAACACTTAAAATCATCGATACAACTGCCACTTCCTACCCCTGGTCATGCGCTAGAACCAAAGAGCCGGCCCCGTCCCCCCCTTTTGCCGAATGTACAACAGCCTCTTCAGGTCGCCAATACAATCGCTACCACTGCAACAGCATCCACGCCGCCACTCCTGTTGTCCACGTACACGTACACAGACCTCGGCCGACTCACTTGGTTTCTTGAGATCGCGGAACACCTTGTCGTCCGAGAGGTCTAACTCATCGGAGGTATAATCTGACAGCACCTGTACGGAAAAAACAAGATTTTGAAAATCGCCACAAAAAAAGAAAATAAAAAGAGAAAAATTGATTCCGGGCAGGCAATGCTCCTCCTGCAAATCCCAAAAGTGCTAAGGGAAACCGCCGCACAGCACCAGGGAGGAAAACAACGCTGAAAAATGCCACAACACAAAAGACAAGGAAAATTACAACACTGGGCAGGCAAAGCTCCTGTGCAATTTCCAAGTGCAAGGGCAATCGCCGCACGCCCGACAAAGCAATAGAGGGAGATCAAGCAAGCAGTCTTTGAGCACAACACACACCCAACAACAGGAACAGCACTTTGCAACGACAACAGCACATACCCACCAAAGGTGAACACATGGGTATTTGGGTGTTTTTTAGTTTTAGGTGTAGGGGACGCAATATCTGTAGAGTTGTGTGCTTTTTTTTATTTTTTTATTTTGAGTATGGGGACGCAAAGACGTCAGTCTCAGTGCGGTTGAAAACACAAAATGTTTCTAAAGTCCATGGTGTATAATTTGTGTTTTGTTTTGGGTGCTTTTCATTGTTCAGTTTTGGGGACGCAACAACAATATCAGCGACGACACCATACGACGCAAGCAAAAAACGCTGTGAATTCATTGCTAATGCATCGTAGACTCTTTTCTATGGATAACATTGGAATAATTGTGTCATATTAAGAAAAAAAAAAAAAAAACACTCACCCAGGGGAACACCGGGTACTGGCATAGATCGTTGAAGCTTCGGCCGGCCAACGTGTTGAGGCCCATGAGGTACTCGAAGTTGCTGATGCGTCGCCGCTGCCACGCCTTGAGCAGCCGGCTGGCGTCCGAGGACTCCGAGCTCCCCGACGGGCACTGGCCAAGCAAGGAGCGGCAGCAACAAAATAGGTGTGTACCGTAATTGCTGCCGTACCATTTACTACGTGGATTCTTGTTCCATACGCATGGTCAGATGGGCGGCACAGCAGTCATCGTGGGCTGTGGACGGGCGGGGGGGGGGGGGACCATCGGCGTAACCTGTACCACGCGAAAACGCTTGCGGGTTTGAAAGAGTACACACCAAAGAAAAGCAGCACCAGCAGCAGCACCAACAGCGGCACTACCATACACTCCATTTGCCTTCAGCAAACAACCGAGAAGCATTTACCCACCCGCGTCTGGAGTGCCCTGAAAAAGTCGTTGCGGCGGCCCTGGTCTCTGGACTCCGACCCGAAATTTAAGAAGAGGCTTCTCCGCTTGCCCCTGCGGAGGAACACCTGGAGGGCCGACTCGCGCAGGCGGAAGCGCCGCTGGGGGACACGTTCCACCGGGGACCAAAAAAGGACCAAAAAAGGACCAAAAAAGGACCAAAAAGGGGGGGGGGGGGGGGGAACCAGGTCGCAACCATCAGAGAGACGTCGCTCAAGCATTAACCCTTACAAACGCACAAAATGCTAGCGATTAACCTGGCTCTTCGCCCGAATCTCGAGGTGGTGACAGAACAAAACAACCATATTACACCATATTTCTACTGCTGTAGAGCGTAAAAGCAACTTATGGGCCCCAAAAAATAAACAAAAAAAGAACGGTCTCCGATGAGCAAATAACACGTCAACCCCGAGCACACAAACACCCCAGCCCGGAACGAAACCGGCGTGCGACACGCCCACGGCAGCCGCTGCGACACGACGAGGCAGTTAGAGGTATACCCTACCTGGTCCATGGCCCACGTGTACGCCTTCGCGGCTCCGGCGCCACTGCTGGTGCCGCCGCCGCCGCCGCCGCCGCCGCCGCTACCACCGTCCCGTCCTCCGTCGCCGTCGGCGGTAGCGCTCTCGGGCATGAAGGACAGGAACTGTCGAATCATAATCATCGTCGGGGTCCCGAGAGGGTACACCATTCACGAGGATGACAAGGGGCAAGTGTTGCAGCAAAGAAGAAACTCACTGTTATGTAAAGACTTCAACCCGTCCCCTTCGACAGCAGTGGATATATCTCCAACGGGCAGTCTCTCTTTGAATGTATGAATAAGAACGTCTTACTCAGTGGAAGACTTAAAACATCCCCTTCGACTGTGCATTATCTCGAATAGGTAGTCTCTCTATGAATGTATGTATCATAACGTCTTGCTCAGTGTAAAACTTCACGTGCCCTTCAACTCTGGTGTATTATCTCGAACGGGTAGTCTCTCTTTTGATTGCATGAAACATACGTTTCTAAAAACGAGCATGCATGTGTTCGAGGGCGTAGTACCGGACGACGGGGGCCCGCGAAGGAACAAGTACTATATCAACGAGGGTGCGCCTTAAAAAGGATGTGGTACGTGTTTTAAGACCGCCGAGTAGAAAGCACACCAAGCATGGACAACACATTTTGCGGCTGCATTCGAGGCCAAGGGGTAGACGCATACAACATCTCACTCCAAGAGGAAAAACAAGTGCTTCTCTATCCTCCCTCCGCCACGAACCAAACGAACGAAAGCACCCCAACCCCAACCCCCCCCCCCCGTTACCTTGTCGACGAGCGACAGCCGCCCTCTGCGGTTCCCCTTGGGCGTAACCAGCACGACCGTCTCCGTCACGCCCAACCCAGACGCGGCCTCCGCCGCGATCGCCACAGCCATCCTCCACCGCGCGGCCCCGGGCCCCAGGTCCACCCGGGGCCCGGCGCCCCCGTCCTGGCGGCCGGCGACGGCGGCGAGGGTCTGCCGCACCCTGGCCTCCACCAGGCGCCGCTCGTCTTCCTCCCGCTGGGCTCGCGCCGATGGGCTTTCCCCGGTGCTGGATACCTCTTCGACCACGTCTAGGGCGGCGGCGGCAATAGCGGCTTCATCCGCTCCGCTGCTGTCGCCGGCGGTGGCGGCGGCTTCAGGGTCACCGCTGATGCCGGCGGCAGGGGACAGGGCGCCGATGACGCCCCAGACGTCCTCCTCCTCGTCGTCCTCGTTCTCCCCGTGGTTATCGTCGCCGTTATCGTCGCCGTTACCGCCGCCGCCGCCGCTTCCTCCTCCGGCGTCGGCCAGGGCGTCCCCCGTTGCCTCCGTCTTGACGATGTCCACGATGTACCGCGAGCACTTGCGCGCCAGCTGGAGGCCGACGTCCTCCATGCTCATCGCGCTGGCGGACAGGTCCTCGGCGGGCACCACGGACGCCGAAGACGACGGCGACGACGACGGAGCGGCGAGGACCGGCTGCAGGACGGGGCGGTAACGGCCGGGCTCCGACCCCTCGTGCTCGTTCCCCGCGAGCTTCCACCTGCAGTCGCGGTGCAGCCCGGTTAGCCTCTCGCCCCCCGCACGCCGGCAGGCGGCGGCGGCGGCGGCGGCCCCCTTCTCCTCGCCGACCCAGGGCGACGCCTCCGCCTCCGCCAGTCGGCTGACCCTCCGCCAGTGCCTCCGAGCCCTCGCCCCCGCGGCGTCGAGGGCCGCCATCGCGTACTCCAGCCGCAGGTGCTCCTCCTCCACCACCACCCGGTGCTCCGCCAAGACCGTCGCCGCCAGGCTCTCCGCCGCCGCCGCACCGCCGAGCCCGAAGATCAAGCTCCCGCGGGGGGGCAGCTGCTGCAGCGCCTTCGCCGTCACCACCGCCGCGTCGGGCGGCGACGAGTCACCGGCGGCCGCGGCGGCCGCGATAGCCGCGGCGTCTTCGCCGGCGCCGGAGGAAGGCGTGTACGGGCGGGGGGGGCCGTGGGGGCCCGGGGGCTCGGCCGGCCACGCGAACTCTCCGGCGTCCCGCGAGAGTCGCACGCGGTGGAGCGGCGGGGGAAGGCCGAACGGCATCGTGTAGGAGGCCGGGAGGTGGGCGGAGGCGTACCCGCCGAGGGCCGCGGAGCCCCCCCTGGCACCGCCGCCGCCGCCGCCGCCGTTGTTGTACTCGAAGGAGGGACGCCGGCCGCCGGCGTTGAACGAAGACGATAACGATGAGGACGAGCCCCGCCGGCCGCTGCCCATGTTGCGGAACAGCGGCACGAAGTCGGCGTAGTCCTGGCGGCGGAGAACAGGGCGGGACAGGGTCAGCAAGCAGCGGCGACATCTCGCCTCGCCAATGCGGTGGCTCATACCCAAACAATAATGTGCCTCATTTTCCCGCGTAAGATGACTCACTGCGTACACAGATTTTGTGATTTTTTTTTCTTTTTGGTTCGTTCAGGTTCGCTGGGCTCTTCCGAGTCAAAAACACGTCAGCTGTACGAGCTGTTCGACCTTGGGGAACGCCACAACTTGGCTGTCCTTCTGTCTGCCTCATTTGCATCTTGGATCACCCCTTTGATGACACTGCTGTGCTCTCATGAGCCCACTCCCAAGGGATCACTTGTCAACATCAACAAACTTGAACGGCGTTCGATTAACACCGGTTCACACTAATAAATTGTAAGCGACTTGGTACACTCACGGAGTAGGCAAGAAAACAAAACGCTGGTACGCATACCACCACACCAGACCACACCGGGCGGTGTATTTACCTGTCGAGACTCCGCCTGCGCCTCCGCAAGAACCGCCCAGAGCGACTTGAAGATCTCGTCCATGTCCTCGCACCCGCTCGCCCCGGTTAACATTTCCGCCACCGCCGCTGAAGCCTTCGGGGCTACCGTCGCCGTCGCCGCCGCCGCCCCTCCCCCCTTGGCCTGGCGGGGAGCCGGGCGCCCTGCCGCCTCCCCCCGCCGGCCCCGCGCCGTCTCGGCAGCGTTATCCCCGGCGGCATCCTCTGCTGCCGCCGTCTCCGCGCTTGGGAGGGTGTGGAGATTTTGGACCGCTGCCATTGCGACCGCTCCAAGCAGACCGCGCTTCTCCATGGCCTGCGGGTGGGTGGCGGAGGAGCAATTGACGGAAGGTGGCGGAGATGTTAGACGAGGAAAAGGGGTGCGGTTGGATGCGCTCCGTTTTGCTGTCTCAGCCCTGGCATGATATGAGTGCACATCTACGCGCCGCAAAAACGGAAGTCTTATCGGCCCGAGCAAGACGTTCTCCCCGGTGAAAGGTTGACAGTCCGCACACAACGCACAAAAATAAAACACAAGTCGGTCTACTACAACGACCGTTTCATAGGCCACGACTGATGCAAGAACTCATACACTGGCCTTCGTCCTCCCGTGAAAACAGGGAGCAGCCGCCCTCCCCAAGCGCCTAGCAAACCACCCTTTTCGCAAGACTACGGCTGTGCACCAGCCCCACCACGCACACTGCGGAGCCTCCCTCCCCCCTAACGATGACCAGCTTATGGTTCATCCTTGCGAAACGTTGCCTGGGCTACCAAAACATCGCACCGTCCCGGCATATAGGGCTGCGAGGTCAATGGCCAAACGATCACGGCATGCATGTAGATGAGTACCCCCCCCCCCCCCGCCCCTCTCTCTCACCAACGCGGCCGCATCGGGATCGAACGGCCCGTTCGCCCGCTTCCCAAGTCCCCCACTGGGGGAGCGGCGTCCCCCCCCCCCGGGCGATCCCGAAGCGGATGGGTCCCGGGGTGACAGGGCCTCGTCGCAGACGGACAGCGCCTTCCTGAGGCTTAGGAACGCCTCGAGCGTGGCCGACTTGCCGGCTGCGGGGGTGACCTCGGGGAGAGACAGGAGGACCTATCAGCGGGTGTCGGGAGGCGAGAGATTGGGTGGGGGGGGGGGGGGTTGCCTCGTCTACGTGGCCGTAGTGGCGCACAAAAGCAACACATACATATGCGTGCGGAATGGTACCAGCAATTCCAAAGGAAGAGAGAGGGAGAGAGGGAGAGGGAGAGAGAGACAGAGACAGAGAGAGACAGACAGACAGACAGAGAGAGACAGAGAAAAAGAGAGAGAGAGAGAGAGAGAGAGAGAGAGAGAGAAAGAGAGAGAGAGGGCGAACGAGAGAGCACCGCCAGGCAACGCACCCCGTAAAAAGGCACACCCGACACATGCCCCCAGAAACCAGCAAAGCCGGCGCAAAACCCATTCAGCCCATCTCTATAATAGCGCCGAACTACAGCACCACCACCACTAAGCACACGCACCTGCAGAGACAGGAAAACCTCGTGGTAGACCACCCGCGATAGCTCCGTGCCCACGTCGCGAAGCACTGGCACGCGCCCCAGCGCCCGCAGGGCGGGCCACAGCGCGTTGCACGCCCGGGTCCGGAGCCCCACGTCCCCGGCTGCCGCCGCAGCCGCGGCCGCGACGGCGGCAACGGGGGCTCGGTGTCCCGTCGCGAGGAGGGGCTCGCTGGATAGCATGCTGCGTAGACCCCGAACGATCTGTGAAAAAGGGACGGGAAATAATTAAACTGTTTTGTAAGGGAGCACGATTTAATTTGCGGGAAAAAGAGACGCGGTTTCGGGGGAAAGAGGGGATTCAGCGCTTAAAAAACTACTGGTGGGCTACGGGGAGGTATTCCCACCAATCATACCCATACGACGGGATGCGCGATGTGAGGAGCGGGGGGGGGCGGGGGAGAATGTGCACAACATCGGCCAACACCGAAGCACACCCGCGCGCGTCTTTTGCGTGCGAGAATACAGCGCCGAACACACCGAGCAATAGCGTGCGAGCATACACGGCGGCAGAGTAGCGTCGGGCACATGGATGGATCAAGGAACGTGCCGGCAAACAACAGTCCTGCATCATCTACCGTGGGTTGCATAAGATATCACACCCCCTAGACAGATTTTCGAAGCTCGTTATCTCGGCAAGAAAAGGCGTGACGGTGCTGCAAATGGCGGGGTTGGAATCGTCTCGTCCGAGAGATAGCTTTCCGAAAACGTATACTTCAATTCCGGCATACTCTTTGTCGTGAAGTAAACGAGATTTGAAAAATCGGTCCAGGGGGTGTGATATCTTACGCAACCTACGGTATATACACCCCCTCACCTCCAACATGCACTCCACGAGGTGGCTCAAGGACCCCGCCGCGGTCCCGTCTTCGCCCCAACTCCCCTCCATGTCGAAGGAGGACTGCCCCCCGGACGACCCAAGCGCCGGGTGATGCCCCTCCGCTGCGCCCCCCGCAACCTCAAGTCCGCCGGCTTCTCCGCCGCCGTTTTCTTGGTGGCTATCGCCGCCTGCAGCCACCGTTGCCGCCGCCGCCGCCGCCATGGCTGCTGCCAGCTCGTCTCCCGGGAACAGGCGCTCTTCGACGAGGAGCATGAGCTTGTTCAGCCCGTCCAGGGTAAGCTCGGTCCATCTGCCTGACCCCCGGGCGACCCGCTGGAGGACGGTAGAGGATAGCTTGCAGAGGGCCTTTTCGGCGGGAATGAAATGCGGCCCAACGAGGGGAGGGAGAGGAGTTGGCGAGAAGGAGAGGGACGAGGGATCGTAAGTTTGGGGTTAGGGAAAAGTGTTGCGTTAATTCGGCTCCACTCACAAAGCTCTGCAGCCCGAGAATAGGGGGACGAGGAGCGTGAGTCTCTCATCCCTGCCCCGACCCTTCCGTGCTCTCTGCCAGAGGGTAAATACCCGAATGCAACCGTCCTTCGTCGACCCGGCAACAGCAGTAGCACCCGCACAGGAAGAAGCGACGCGCACACAAGTTGAGCTGTGGGAGCGTAACGCTGGGCTGAACAACAGGCGGCACCAGCCCTTTGTTGTGTTCAATGATGGATTCGAGCAACATATGTATGTACATACGCATACAACACGGGCACGGTGCCCCCCCCCCCCCCCCCCCACGAAGGCAAACTCACCACCCTCTGCCACTCCCGCCCGCCACGGTCCAGCCCCACCCGCTGCACCACCGCGCGGTCAAGGCTGGCCAGCAGGGGGCGGAGGATGGTCCAGCCCCGGGGACGCTCGACGATGCTGTCCGCCACCACGCAGCCTGCCGCATCGAGGGCGAGCTCTTCGCACAGCGATGTCTCGCCTACCGGGGTGCTGACAGCGCCGTCCCCGAACCGCTCCACGGACTCCCACCCGCCGCCGCCGCCGCCGCTGCTGCTGCTAGGGCGCTGGGGGACAGACACGAGGGAATGGGGGGTGGTGGATGTTTGCTAGGGCATGCCCCATAGCGTCTGTAAGTTTCTGTACTCTAGGGTATCGCAAGTGCCACAACTATCGGGTAGGTATTGGAAGAACTAGACCCCAAAAGAAGAAGGGAAGTTGGTTCGTGAGAAGGTAGTACAGAACCTCACAGAACGTTTCGTCTACACAGCGTATGCGACTTAATCTTCGCCGACAACAAACACACAAGACCGAGCGGGGAAAGGGCAAGGCGAGCTCTTGGTTGGCCCAACGCTAATAGGGGGCGGTGGATGTTAGCGCATGCGACTTTAGCTACTACGCCAACGACAAACACACGACATCTAGCCGGGAAAGCTCTCGGTTGAGCAAACGCTGCTATTGGGACCTTCGACGAACTACTGTACGACGATGCCGTACGCCGGGGGCAAAAAAAAATGGGGAGGATGATCACGGCAGCACGATTTTCGAGGAGGGACGGCCACAGCTTTCACCTTGAGGGAGCCGCCGCTCCCCACGCCCTCGGCAGCACCGGTGGCGCCGGCCGCGAACGGATCGTCCAACTCCCTCTCGCACAGGGCCAGCTCCATAAGCGCGTCCGCCCAGGAAGACTCGGAGAGGCGAAGCAGCGCCTTCCTTGCGGCGACATTGCCCTGGATGATGGTGAGCAGGAACGGTTGCAGCGCCCGCGTTTATGAAGCGTCAATTCGGGGTCGTGGCTCAAGCAAATGTTTCGTCAACTCCGTTGAGCAAAAAGGTCATGATACAAAATATACTGCAGGATCCGCGGCTGGTGTGCTTCTCATTTACAGTCGAGTTTTCTTATTTAATCGCCACAATCTGTGCCAAAGGTTTGTTTCTTAATCGCGGGCGCTAGCTTCATTCGGCGTAGCCGAGTGTCTGCAGGCGAGTGAGCGTTGGCAGGCGTGCACATGTGAACAATTTGGGCGTGACCACATGTCGGTGGGGGCTTGTCCAACTTGTGCTGGAGGCCACCTATCAAATCGAATATAGCAGAGCAGGGTCATAACAGAAGCGGGGGCAAGAGTTTTTGACGAAACTTTCTTGCATGCATGCAAGTCGCGTTCGGTGCTCAAGGCTTACATACGGGTGGGAGAGGGTCACATGGGGAGTGCTAAGCCACCGCGGCACGCGCTCGCGTGTGTATGACCTGTGTCGCCTAGACTCGCGTGGCTCAAGAGGAATCCGCATCCATGTCGAACTCCTATGATCGGAACCCAATCCCCTCACAAAGCCTACCATGCACCCTTCCGGACCAAGTCACACAACTCTCCGGAAAAATCGGCAAACAGCAGAAGCTGGATCATCACAGAACTTCGTACCGGACAACGGCAAACGGCAAACAGCAGACGAGACGCAAAACACACACACACACCTTGAGGGCGATGTTGATCGACATGGCGGCCTGCTGCCGCGTGGACGGCGACGCGCCCGGCAACAGCGCCGCCAAGAACGGCAGCGAGAGCCACAGCGACGCCCTCTTCCCCCCACCGCCGCTGCTGCTACCGCTCTCAGCGTCGCCGGCATCGCTATTATGGCCGCCGCCGCCGCCTCCGCCGCCTTCGGCGACAGTTTTGCCCCCCGTTTCCTCCGTCGCCGCCGACACCTGTCCCCCCGAGAGGGCAACCTCCACGACGTCTTCGCCGATTGGCGCCGGTGCCGGGGAGAGGGGACCGGGGATGGTGCCCCACGCGCCTTGCGAGACGGCCAGAGCCACCGTGCGTGCCTGTTTCGAGAACAAGACACGCGGACGGACATGCGGGGTCGCGAGGAAATCAGGAGGAGAAGAAGAAGAAGAGGGGGGACTGCAGATAGCAGTGCAGCAAGATGGGGGACTACACCACTAAGACGAGTAGGGTGGGGGCACTACGGACAACAGCGCAGCAAGAAGGGGAGGGGCTACAGACAGCAGCGCAGCAAGAGGGGGTCCTGCAGACAGCAGTGCAGTGTATCCGCGCGGGGCCGTGGCAAAATTTGCGCCCGGCGTACAGAGTCGCGACGACAGCGAACGGAGGCAGACAGCAGGCCAGCACCACACACCCGGGAGCAGCGTACAGCACCACTGTACATGGGCTTTGAGGCATGCAGCGCACAGCTCCTCGCAGTGGTCGGGAGATGTGGTGCACCGCGACAACGGGCTATCGTCTACTGTTCTGCCGTGCATCCCGTCCCTACCGAGGGACATCCATGCGATGCGATTCAAGTGCGCACCATCATTTCGCGAACACAGAAGCAAAACAGAAACGGTTGGGCCAAAAAACAACAATGCCGCTGAGGGCACAAGTAGAATCAGAACGAAACAACGGTCACCCAAAAAAACAACAATGCTGCTGACTACAATACACACCACGCAAACGGCGTCCATTGAATCATGAAAAGGCTAGCGTAAAACAACAACACACGATTCCTTCCAACAAATCGGCAGCGCCACCCCCTACGCAAGAAAAGCGGCTAAAACGTAAAACGGGGGGGCAGAACACACACCAGCATCAAGTGCGCAGACCAGTACTGCCCTCGGACGGCCGCCAACACGTCTCTCCCCGAAGCAGCGTCGCCGCCATCCGCTGCTCCTTGGCCCCGTCCACCATCCTCGCCCAAGACCAGGTTCTCGGCGTCCAGAGCCTTCGCCAGGTTAGGGGCCAACGAGGCGTTGCCGCCGCCGCCGCCGCTCGCCGGAAAGGCGGACACTGATGGACGGCGGTGGCGAGGCGTTTTGGCCGACGGGGCCAGCGACCTCTCGTCCCCTGCCGCGTGGGTCTCCGTGAGCAGCCACAGGGAGAGGGCTAGGCAGTCGCGGCGGACGTCGGTGGAGTACCCTTTCCTGGACAGCAGTATCGGAGCGGCCTCCCACAGGAACATGCTCCTAGGGGAGGGGGTGTTGTTGACGGGGGACAGCAGGGGAAATGAGGGAGAAAAACGAGGAGCGTGTTTTTCCTACAGGTTGGCGATGAACACAAAAAACTCATAAAAATACGTAAAAACCAAACGCGACAACACAAGACGTCGCAGGATAATGCCGTGATCGTCGTCAACGTCCAAAAAATCAACACACACGACAGGAGAGCACCAGACATGAAGCACAACACGCAAGCCATCTACCTACAAGCAAGACAAGACTCTCACCGCAGCAGTTCGCGCCGCAAGAAGTCTTTGATCGGGCCATCCTTGCGGAGTCCCAGCAACACCCCGAGCACACCCCGCTGCAGGTCCGGGCTCTGGCACTCCTGGAGACACACCACCGCGGCATTGACGCCATCAGCCTCCCCCGCCGCCGCTGCCGCCGCCGTCACCGCTGAACCGGGGTCCTCGACGGTCCCGTCCACGCCGGCGTCGCGGAGCACCCCGTCCTTCCACCCGCTGCCGTCAAGGCCGAACGAGTCGCCGAAGTCCTCTTCGAGAAAGGACATCCGGACGTACTTGGCCCTCTCGCTGGCGTCCATGCCGCGAGAAGCGAGAGCCCCGCCGGGGGCTCTGTCGCCGCCGCCGGCGGCCTCGATGAAGGACGAGGCCGCCTGGACGTCGTCGGAGAGCTCCGAGCGCAGCATCGCGTGCAGCATCCGCATGCACGCGCCGACGCACCGCTCTAGCAGCTCCGCCTGCGGCGGCCCCGCCGCCGCCACCGCCACCGCCACCGCCGCCGCTGCCACTCGAACCATCCCCAAAGCCGCTGCCGCGCTTGCTCTTGGGGGTCACCGGCCGAGCAATGACGCTCCCGTCTGCCGCGTGCGACGGGGCGGCGGCGGCAGGAGGGGCGGAAGTAGACGGGCGCTTCTGGGCGCGGGCGGGGGCGCGGTCTGCGGTGCAAACGTGCAACCTGAGGACGTCGAGGAGGAGCTGGGGGCCGACGAACGCGCGGAGCTGGGCTACCCGACGCTCCGCCTGCGGCAGCGTTGATCATCACGTATACGTGCCAAGAGTTGCGACGAGGGATTGAGAACTATATAGCGCGTGCAGAGCGTTGATAAGAACGTATCGAAGGTTACAAAAACAACGGATTGATATCCTCCATGCACTTAATTCAACGTGATTGTCAAGACAAGAGAAGAGAAAAAAAGACGAAAGACAAGGGCAGGGCATAGGCTGCGTTCCTGCAGATGATGCGCATTGAAAATAGCCGTAGCACCGACATTTTCAAGGCTGAATTTGAGCACTGCTGCAAACAGCGGTACACAGAAAAACAAAACCTTGATGATGTAACCACTCACTGCCAACACCGCAGCTTTTACCGTCGACAAACCTACCTACTTCGTACCAAACCCAGCGTTTACTTCGCCAACAGAAAAATCAACGTGTGAACACACACAACGCGACCAAAAGTCCGCAGGCACAATGTAGAAGCACAACATCACCACGTACCACAGAAGACACCCCTTCCAACAGCAGCGCCTGTGCTTCGACCCCAGCGTCGGACCAGAGCCTGAAGTCCAAGAGAACTCCCTGCAGGGCCGCGCCGAGGAGTTCCACCTCCTGGAAGGCATCCACCTATAACCATGGATCCATCAACGCCCCAAAGTTTTAAAAATAATTTTGTTAAATAAATGCAAACAACATATTATTTTTTAGTTTTAATCAATAGTATGAGAATCTACCCAACAAAAATTTATGGTTATTTAATTTCAATGTTTTATTTTGGAAATGGAACGACGGAGACCAGCGGAGAGCAAGGGGACTGACTTCTTGGGTGAAGGAAGAATTTCGGTTCACCTGTGAGACTACCTCGGTGCCCAACACCATGGTATATCCTGGGGATGCGCTAATCAAAGACACAGATCACCACCATCACCGGGAGCAATGACTTCCGCCCACACGATGAGCACACACACAAGCGCACACCCATGACCGTTAATCCGGACAATAGCTTAGCCTCCCTCACGCCGCCCCCTCACGGGGTCCCAGTTCATGGCATTAAGAAGTGTTTTGTGTTTTCAACCGCACTGAGACTAGCGTCTTTTCATTGGTAAGCCGGTTAGCGCGGTCGATGCTACTCAACAAAAAAAAAAAAAAAAACACACACACACCCATGAATGGGTGTTCCACGTTTCTCGTTCCGCCATGAGACTCGTGTGCACTATCAACTGGTCAGTCGGTTACCGCGGTCGATGCTACTCAACACAAAAAAAAAAAAAACACACACACACCCATGAATGGGTGTTCCACGTTTCTTGTCCCGCACTGAGACTAGCGTCTTTTCATTGGTAAGCCGGTTAGCGCGGTCGATGCTACTCAACACAAAAAAAAAAAACACACACACACACACCCATGAATGGGTGTTCCACGTTTCTTGTCCCGCCATGAGACTCGTGTGCACTATCAAATGGTCAGCCGGTTATCGCGGTCGATGCTACTCAACACAAAAAAAAAAAAAAAAAACACACACACACACCCATGAACGGGTGTTCCACGTTTCTTGTCCCGCCATGAGGTTTGTGTGCACTTTCAACTGGTCAGTCGGTTACCGCGGTCGATGCTACTCAACAAAAAAAAAAAAAAAAAACACACACACCACGTGCAGCAGGTGAAGACATGCGCCGAGCACGGGCCCGCTGAGGTCTTGGGCCGGACGCGGGAGCCGCTGGAGGACCGTAAAGAGCATGTGAAAACCATGCGCCTAGGGGGGGGGGGGGCATGGGTGTCAGCGGGAAGTGGGTGCATAGGGTACACATGTTTCCTCGATGCTTGGAGATGGGGGAAAAAGGCACACTCCTGCAAGCGGACAACGGTGATGTGTGGCATAGATCAAGGCACCAACCGAATGGCCGTAACGGGCTATGATACTCTAGGCGTGTGTGCACTTCGGTGATGAGGGCAGCTGCCTGCGGGTCCAAGGGCAGACAACATCCAACGCAGCTATTTAGGTAGCTGAAACCACACAGCAGCCAGCTGTAAGCAACAGCAGCCAAAAAGCAAACAAGCGGCAGCAACAGCAACAACAGCAACAACGACAGCAACAGCAACGGCAACCACAGCAACAGCAACAGCATCCACAGCAAAGACGACACACCTGGAGGAACTCTTCCCGGTGAACGGGACCCGACGACAGGAGCACCGCCACCGTCCGCAGCAGCTCGCCGAGAAGCTCGCGGCCCTCCCTCGCTAGCACCTCCGCCCGGTCTCGCACCTGGCCGCTCGCGCCCTTAGCGGAAGCCTCGCTGGCAACGTCGGCAAGCTCGTCGACGACACTGGTCAGTGGGAGTGGGCGAGAAAGACGAGACGGGGGGAGAACGGGGCGACGACGTGGAAGGACAAGTCAAAGGTGGGGACGGGCGGGAGAAGGTGCAAGGAAAATGTGAAAAATGCGACAAGGAGTGAGGGGTAACGACAAACCAGAGTGGAAGGACGTGTAAGCCACCCCGATCGCATGGTAGGGGACGGGCGGGGGAGGGGCGTACCCATCTTTGCATGCCTTAGCTGTTAGACCATTAACCACGGGGAAAGGGCGGAGACTACTCAGGAGCGAGGTCGGTCCGCTATGTCAGCGAAATTGCGCAACGGGCGCATCGCATAAACGCAAGTGAGAAAACGCAGATCAACCGTTTCGTGGGTTTTATGGGCGCCGCCCCGTGCGGTTCGCAACGCATCACGGGGATTGACACGACGGAACGTGGAATCGGCGGTTGTCTACTCTGCGACTTGGAGCACGAAAAACAAAGGGCACAAAAACGCTGCCCGTGTCAACAATTCACAACCACCACCAAAGATCACCTTACCACCAAAGATCACCCACAACGACAAACGATGGCAACGGCAGCACCAGGTGCTACCTCAAAAGCACCCTCAAAACACCGAAAACAGTGACAGCGACGACACATCGACACCCAACACAAACGACGTGCTGTGCATACCTCAAGGCCCATATCGACACCACATAACGACGACGACGACACCACATGACGACGACGATGCCAATAACAACGTTCACACAACGACAGCAATACAGGCGCCCCTTTCCTCCCCATCACCTGGCAGCCGTGTACAGGAGCGCGCGGGTGCCCCCCGCCCGAAACCACGCGTCGTACACCCCTCCCTTGGTCGCAGGTCCCGGTGCAACGTGTACGCCAGAGTACGTCACGACATGCTTCATCGGGCCTTCCAGTCTCGCCAGATCGCCACCCGATCCGCCACGCGCTTGAACCATCGCCACGGCAGGACTGCAAAAAACAAAACAAAAAAACACGCACACAGAGTCAGATTGAGGGGGAACATGAGGGTGTTGACACGTCTTGCTTGTACAGCAGGGGGACCGGAATAGCGACCCCCTGTTAAGCGACATGCCCTGTTCAGCGACCTCAAAACCACGTCGCACGGCCGCACCCCGGTACTACAACTGCTATAAAACTGGTATTTAGTTCGGTTTAGCGACCTGCCCTGAATAGTGGCCACATTTCATCGTGACACTAGGTGTTGCTAAATCGCCCACCCCCACTGCTGTAAAAGCATGACGAGAGTGTGTAGAGAGCAACAACCACACGGTGGGACAAAGAAACAAAAGCAGTTTCAGATGGAGGGTGTTGACGTGTCTCGCAAGTACAAGCACAACGAAGTGTATGTAGAGAGCAATAAGAAGGGCACCTACAAATTTGAGCTACAAATTTGAGCTACAAATTTGAGCGAAAACAGAAACATTTAACAGCAGTGTTGAGTTGGCAAGGACGTTCGTGATTGGTGGGTTTTTGGTTGAGCGAAACCTGATAATCGCTTTTACAACCAGAGACAGCACAGAGAAGGCGCGTGTGTCTCAAGCAGATAGATGTGTGTGTGTGTGTGTGTGTGTGTGTAATCTAGCTTGATAGAAAATCGGCTCGGGAAAAAAAATAGGAAACGGAAAAAAGACAAGAAAACAAAAGTGGAGGTGGAGAGCATCGATCTCCCTACCTGTTCAATGCTAATGAACCGCTCTACCATTTGAGCTACACCCCCTTCGATGGAAGGGTGATGTCATAACCACTTCTCATTTTGCAACCGAAGTGGCCAACACCGAGAGAGCGGCACTTGTGTAAGTAACATACATCCACGGGCGGTGTGTGTATTAAATTGTTCGGTGTCACGGATAGAGTTGCATTCCCAAACGGTATGCCGAAAGACGCAGGTAGTCAGTCCCCCGAGGTGCCCGGAACACGTCAGTGCTCACAGCATTTCTGTCGGGTACATACAGAATGTCAAGACAACAACAACAACAACATACGAGGTAGCTCGAACCAATCCGTGGGTCACAGCAGAAGCGTTCCTCTCCCTGAGCCCCCCCCCTAGCCACCCACCCCTCCTTTCCATGTCAAGAACAAAACTCCCTGTAATCGCACAAATTCAGCCGCAGCGTGCTACGACACCCCCAAGATCGTTGGAAAACGGCGATCCAGCAGTGCTACGTCCACGTCTGGGAGACCAACGACACACCTCGCCATGACGACGTTGTGGAGGTCCACAGTCCCGCCCGGGCGCCACGCGGGGCACACGCCGTCTGTGCACATGCGCGGCAGGAACGCCGCCACCAGACGGGCGCTCGCGGCGGCCTTTGCGCCCTGCCCGCTCAGCATCTGAGAAAAAGAGGACGGGGGGGCAGCAGAGGACGAAAACGAGAATCAAAGCCGGTGGTATGTTTCGTAGCATTGTGAAAAAAAGAGGAGGAGGGGGGGGGGGGGGCGTACTCATTTGTTGCTTGCCGTAGTCATTTGACCATTGACCACGCGTCCCTTTCGAGACGGAGCACCGTTCCTACACCTACTAGAGACACCACCAACATTTGGGAGCTCTTTACGTTTCTGCCACAAACTCCATAAAAATTTCTTGCACATCTTATCCCCGTCCTCTAGGGCCTCTTGTGCCCACCATCTATCCCCAATTATCGCGATCGTTTTTTCGCTGTTGTCTAATTTACCAAACTTGTCCATGTCACACCCTCTCTGTCTCATTTCCTCCTCGAGATCCTCTCTTTCCTTCCTGTACAACTCACACTCCCTCAACTATGTGGGGTCTACTCTCCTCCGATTTGCCACATGGACATGTGTGTCTATCCTCCTCTTCCTCTCTCCTACGGCTGGTATACCTCTTCCTCCGTTCTGGCAAGTCCAGATCGCCTACTCGAAATTGCAATTTCAGCTTTTTCGCATAGTCCATGGGGCCGTCCAAGTACTTCTTCATCCCTATCCCTTCTTTCAACTTCCCGTATATCTCCAAGTGGTCTTCGCTTTGTACCTTCTTCCGAAGGGTTGTCTCCTCCCTACTTTCTAGCATCTCCTTGACTTTCGTCTTGAACCCCCCGAACCCTTCCGTGTCCAACGTCTCCTCCTCGTCTCCTATCTCCTTCCAAACCTTCTCTACCACCTTGTCCCATCTGATTCCCTTCTTCCCTGGAGTCGCTTTTCCCCAAGCTGCCTCGTCAACCATGGCTGGTAGTCTATCGTCCGACATTCTACTTACCTTGTACTGCCACTTCAACTTCTGCATGTCTCTCTTTGTTTTAAGAGAGTACATTCCCAATTCTGCTGTTGCTCGTTGTACTTGAACATCCTAGTATTTTCTTGGCCGCTGCCATCTGCACCGTTTCCAGCTGCTTGACGGCCTTTTCGTTACCTTCCCATATCTCTCCTGCATACTCTAGCTTAGGTACAATCACCTTCAAGAGAATACACCTCTTAATCCTAGTGTCTAGGTGTGGGTCCGTAAGGATCTCATCCATCTTGCCTATCTGAGCTTTACCCTTCCCAATCAACTTCGACGAAAACGAGAATCAAAGCCGGTGGTATGTTTCGTAGCATCTGAAAAAAAGAGGAGGAGGGGGGGGGGGGGGGGGGGGGGGGGGGGGAAAAGGGCAAAAAAAAACACAAAATTGTGGGGGGGGGTGGGGAACCCTTCCCAAAAAAAAATCTTTTGGGCGGGGGAAAAACGGGGTTTTTTGGGGAAAAAAAAAAAAACCCCTTGGTCCCAAAAAAAACCTTGGTCCCCCCCCCCCAAAAAAACCAAAAAAACCCCCCCCCCCCCAAAAAAAGGGGGTAACCCCCGGGGGGGGATTTATTTTTTTTGGGAAAGTGGGGGGGTTTTTCCAAAAAACCCCAAAAAAAAATTGGGGAAAATTTTTTTTTGGGGGGGGGGGGTGGCAAAACCCCCCCCCCCGGGGAAAAAAAACCCCCCAACCCCCCCTAATTTTTCTGGGGGGGAAAAAAAAGGGGGGGGGGGCCCCCACCCCCCCCGGGAAAGGGTTGGCGCCCCCCC